ACTTTAAAATTATAAAGTAAACATATACCAATATGATATAATTTTATGCGTAGATCAAGTTTACTTAGAGCATAAAGATAGGTTTTATTAGTACAATTTTGTGGATTTTAATACAGATAAACCTCTCTAAATATACTCTCTTGGGACTGGAACCAAGTGATGCATTTATAGAGGGTGTGCATTTAGAGATTTGTCTCTATAAATGCACTTTTCTAAGTTAAAATCAGATGATGCAATTACGGAAATCAAATTATATATAATAATATATTGGTAATTACTAGAATAATATTGAAAAAAGCAAGCTTTTGAATAAAATTTATAGGTTAAATATACTTTTATTGAATGATTGTACATATAATCGTTAAATTCCAAACACTTTTTTTTATACATATATAGCAACTAAGATCTGTGAAATACATTATAAATTTTTAGTACGTATGTACACACGCATATGTAATAGTAGAAATTTAAAGTTCACTTTGAATCATATGTCCATACTTATGAATACTTAATTAAGTCTTGTGTAGCATTTAACGTATATACATACATACATTTATATATAGCATATAACGACAATGATAAGCATACTAAAATTTATATTCTACTTTTTATTGTTATTCTTTTTTTTATCGATATTGACATATTTTAATGCTAGATAAATCGCTAAAACTGATATTAATAGCTTCACTTTAAACCCAATATGCAAATTAACTCGTTGGCTATTTGTTATAATTAATAAACTAGTCGAGTAATTTTGCATTTCTACTTTAACCCATACAAAGCAGCACTGTCTAATAAGTATTATAGTCCGCTAAATAATTTAATATACATCTATAATTAATATAATACAATAAGCTTATAAAAATTACTATTATAGTTCTACTTACGCAAATCAAAATCATCGCAATAGAGGTCTTTATAATTATCTACTGGTAACCTTTCGCTTTCAACTTGATTAAAATATTGATCTATAGTTGATTGTTTCATTAAGTTTTTTTTTTCATTTTAATAAATTTTTCAATAGTACTAACTAACTTGATATATTCATTTGCATCTTCTTGTTGAAGTAAGTAAATATGAATATTTTCCAAACTTTTTAAAGCTACATTTGGACTTATAATCTCTTTTTCAATACTATCATCTGCCATTTCTTGATTTTCATTATACTCACTGTCAGTTCTTCTAAATGTTTCAATAAGATTTATAATAATTTTATCCTCATTAGGAACTTCATATACGATATCCTCTTCAGGAATAGCTAGATATTCTTCTATATGCATTGCATCAGAAAAATTAAAATCATTAAGATTTTGAAAAAGCTCTTCAAGTAATGGTATTTCAATTAATGGTTCATTAAACAATGGTACTTCAAATAGTAATTTATCAACAGGAAGTATACGTGTATAATGCCAGCAGTTTTGGATCATTTGAGCTATAACTTCATTCCAACCTTAAACAATAGTTAAATTTAAATTAAAATAATAGAGAAAACATCGCATATTAAATTTTAAACTAACCTTGAATGACATATCTAATTCCTTTTAGAATAATATAACAAAAATAATATTTAACTATAATAAAAAATCAAATAATATAATAGCAAAAAAAAATATAGAAAATAACCTTGTAAGATATCCATTTTTAAATCTTGCGCACATTTACCATCTTTAACTTGTTCTAACATCCACCTGATATGATGACGACGATAATTTCTTTTAAAGGACATAATTATTCCTGCATCCATAGCTTGAATTCTTGAGGTTGTATGTGAAGGTAGAAAGCAAACATTAATATTTTTAAGAAATATGCCACCTGGTTTGTGACTTGAACATTGATTAAGAATTAACAATACAGGTTGGTCTCTATGTTTTTTTGTAATTTGAAAATCAAAATCACGCAACCATTTTTGAAAAAGTGTTGTCAACATCCATGCCTTAGCACTATTATAGTATGTTATTTTTAGACTTGAAATTTTAACATTTTTAAAACATCTTGGTTTAGCATATTTTCCAATAATTAGAAGATTTAATTTATATGACCCATCAGCATTTGCACATAGTGCAACTGTGATACACTCTTTATTTTTTTTATGTCCAGAAAGACGTTGTATAGCTAGTGAATGATCTGGTTCTAATTGATAAAAAAGTGCAATTTCATCCATATTGTATATTCGTTCAAGAGAATAATCACTACACTTATTTCGTAATAATGGAAGTTCTCTAATAATAATATTTTCATTAACTGATTCATTTTCTCCATGCAACTTTTCACGACCAATTCCATTACGTTCTTTGAACTTCTGAAGCCAACCCGAAGAAAAATTTAATGTGCCTACAGGAACTCCTAATCCATCGGCAAATAGTTTTGCTTTTTCAATTAACATTAAATCACTTAAAACTGTCTTGTGTTGGTAGGTTAATACAAACTCTTTAAGAGCCATTTCAAGTTCAGGAACAGTAACAGATCGATTTCTTTTTTTGTCTCGATTAAGTATTTCACTGGTAAGTCGTTGATCTTTTGTTTACAGATTTATATTATTGTAGATTCATAAACTCTAACTCACCATTTTTGTTCAATCCAATCTATATATTTTGTACAAGTCATTTTATTTTCATGAGTATAAAGGCAAAATTCTCGCTTTTGAGCATTATTTAGAGAAGTTTTTGATTTAGAAAACATTTTAAAATAAGAACTATAAAGATAAACTAAAAAAAGCTTTTTAATATTAACCAAGTGAAGATAAATTTTATTAATATAATTTTTTACACGCTTTTATAATTTTTTACAGCTCTTTGATTATATTCGATTTTATCTACGAATCTAATAAAGAATTTTAAATTCTCATAGTAATTGCGGTTTAGAGGTTTTAAAAGAAAGTTTTCATCATATCTTTTCTATTTTTGTCTATTTTATTTGTACTAATTATTCTTTATCTATTTTTTTCATATGAATTCAAAAGATATAAAGATTTATTCTATATTTTCACATGTTCTTAGATATGGCTTCGCTCATTTTGGTATTATTAATTTCTTTGCGCTTAAAAATTTTTATCTATTATGAACTCTATTACTTTACTCTTTGGGCTAATCGCTAAGACCAAATTAAGATCAAAAATACAAGAATAAAGTAATTGTCATACGGTTATTTTTAGCTGCTTTAAAAAAGTTAAAAATTATTGTATATACCAACCAACAAAGCTTAAGATCCAATTATTAATAATAAGGCTCAATTTTAAAATCAGAAAACCTTGCTTATTTTTCCGATTCATAATTTGATATAGTAAAAATACTATTACTTATTTTCTACATTACTTGTTAATTTTGAAACTTTTCAATCATATAATTGTGCTGTAACTTAAGAACTATTATTAAAAGCCTGTATAGGATGATCGATAATCATGTTCTTAATTAGTGCATATAATCAAATTAAGTAAAACATGCATAATATAACGATCAACACACATTACCAAATTCAGAATAAATCAAGATCAAAAGCCAAAGTTTTAGATGGATACGAAATAGAAGAAGCTAAGGATAATAAGAGATGAGAAATAGCAAAGAAAAACTGGTAGATGCACTAATTTAGTTATTCATAAAAATATAGATACAAAACAATTAATGTAAATTTAAAGTAGTATCTGGGAAGAACCAAGGATTATAATAAAGCACCTGCTAAATAAATAGTTTAGTAACAAATAGTTAAGTAGTAAATATAAAAAAGGTGCATTTACTAAATCTAATAATTAAGTGAATCATGATTCCTTTAGTGACTTAAATATCAAATCACGTGAAAGCATATTTATAGATATTTATTTATATAACAGGGTAAAAAATTTTTATGCATGTGCAAAGTATAGAGAGTGCATTTACCGTTAAGTCCCAAGCATAAGACCAGGTATATGAGTGCATATAAAGAGGGAGTACACTTATAAAGGGTGCACTTAGAGAGGTTTTTATAATTTTACTAGTAAAATTGTAATAGATATTATGATTTTTAAAATTTTACTCTATATAATTTAATTCAATATATAAATTTATATATATATAATTCAAACTCAAATAG